TTTCAAGCTGTGTAGATGATGATTGTTGCTCGCTGGTTTTGTGCGTTGCCTCTTCCTGGGTTCAGCTTAGTCCACCCAGTCACTGACCTTTGTTACATTTTGGTTCAGTTGCAGCTCCTGTTTTCCAGACCAGCCTTTCATTCCTTGCCAAATCAGTTTCGCGAATGAACAGTTGGCAATCATATGTGAGTGTGATTCATGCCTGGTTAGCATAATTTGCAAATTGGGTTTGCCTGGCCCCCCGCTTGTTTATTCTGTCCGCCGTCGGCAATTTTCTTTGTAGCAGAAGCCAAATGAAGAAGCGACATTTTGGTTCAGGCTGGAATTTCCAAATACTCCTCCAATCGAGTTCTGTGTTGTGGTCCACCTGAATTTATGCAATAGTTTTTTTAATTGCTCCTCCTGAATTTATGAACGTTGGATGCTTAAATGTGGACATGTGTGGTGAATCTGTGGCAATTCCTCACAGCGTCTCCATGCACTACACCACATCATCCCAAGAACAATGACTACATTGGAGTTGCTAAAGCCGCTGTACTGACTTAACGTCAGTCAATATAAATGACAGGTCCTCACATAAGTCGATGAAAGTGGCATTGGTATCGACCAACAGAGTTTTACCAACTGACAGTTCAACTCCCTAAGGATGTTTTACAACCAACAGTTCGACAAGATCATTAAAATCGATAAAAAATAAAACTAACTAGACCCAAAATTTAAGACTAATTTGGTACCCATGTTATGAATTTTATCACATCATTGACTCATTCATGTATGTTCAAGTCTCTTTAGAATCCCACAATCAACATCGATTACACTCGATACTAAATTACACATCCTAGATGAACATAGCTATCCATGGAAGGATGGAAGCCATCAAACTAAAACTAAAAAGCTCAAAATTTTTCACAATAACCAAGCTAGATACTAGGTTGCAAAAGATTGGTTGGACACAACAAAACATGTCATCTCCAATGAGTCCCCAAAATAAATCCCAAACTCGCATCCATTAGCATTTTGGTCAGCTTGATGCTTGCAAGCTCCTACGTAACGTCTCCTAGTTCATGAAAAATCAAAATTAGCATGCAATTAGCAAGATCTACAATCCTCTAGTCTCAATGCATGAGAACACAACCTACACAATGGCATTTGCCTTGCAGAACAATAAACTGTTTTGATCCTCTATGATGGACTGAAACGGTGATAAGAGGAGGGGGTGAATGAGAGCCAATCAAAATTATCTAAGAACTTGGGCTATATCTCAAACTTTGCCAAAAACTTCTCTCCTCTAATAAAATCAAGTCCTCAGTCATGACAAGGCTACAAAATTTATTAGATACAGTGCTAGGAAAGACCAAAGATCAAGCAAAAGCAAGAACAAGTCAGAGAAACACTTGAGAAACTCATGAAGTCAATTTTCAGGTCAGCATGTGCGGAGGTTCAGCGAGGTCCGCACAGACAATTTTGAGCATGTCAAATCCAAAGAGAAAACAATGCAAAACTCGAAAGTCCAAATGACACAAAATTTTGTACACACCTTCCCTATAACATGGAGAAGGTATCCACAAGTGATCTTGCCCATTGTTCAGATATTTGGAAAAACAAAATACGGTCAAAGTTGAATAGCCGGTCAACAGAGACACCCGTTTAAAATGGTTCTCCTTATGTAAAAGGTTATGGAGTATCTGGTGATCTTATCCTTCCAACATGTGCATGTGCCATTGCACAATTGTCTATGCAGCGATTCTAGCAGTATTGATGATACAAAAAAAAAAGCCATGTCTCAGCCAACGACCAGGAACCATAAACTACAGTTACCTCTCTCTCTCTCTCTCTCTCTCTCTCATAACAACAGTTACCTCTTTGATAACAGCAGTGACAAACTGATAACACACGCGAAAAGGAGCTCAAGCTCAAACCTCTGTACGCCAAGCAGAAAATGGCTGGGGAAGAGGAGCTGAAGCTGCTGGGCATGTGGGCGAGCCCGTTCGTCCTGCGTGCGAGACTTGCGCTGAGCTTCAAAGGCCTCAAGTATGAGTACGTCGAGGAGGAGATCTTTGGAAACAAGAGCGAGCTTCTTCTCAAGTCCAACCCGGTCCACAAGAAGGTACCCGTGCTCACCCACAACGGCAAGCCCATCTGCGAGTCACAGGTCATCGTGCAGTCCATCGATGAGATCTACGGCGGCGCCGGTCCTTCTCTCCTCCCCGTCGACCCCTACGACCGTGCTGTGGCTCGCTTTTGGGCCGCCTACATTGACGACAAAGGTACATATGCCACCATTGTATAATCCCGCTGTTCCGTGTATTTCCAATGTGTGTTTGGCGATTGGCACACTCCTTTTTTTTTTTTTTTTTTTGCCAAAGAAGAGTAAACGTGTGTGTGATTTTTTTGGCAGCTGTTCAGCTCGTTCATGACGATGATAATGGGCAAGACGGACGAAGAGAAGGCAGAGGGACGAAGCAGTTGTTTGCCCCGGCAGAGACCTTGGAGGGAGCACTGAAAGAGTGCTCTAAGGGGAGACCCTTCTTCGGCGGCGACAGCGGCGGGTACGTGGACATCGCGCTCGGAGGCTTCGTCGCGTGGGTGCAGACGAGGGACCTGTTGTCTGGCTTGAAGCATTTCAACGCCGACAAGACCCGGCTCCTGGCGGCGTGGCTGGAGCGCTTTCGGTGCATTGAACGAAACCCAGGCAGTCATGCCGGACGTGATGAAGCTGGTCGAGTTCTCCAAGAAGAGGCAAGCCCAGGCTGCTGCTGCGGCTGCCGCCGTGGTCCAAGGTAATTGAAGTGGCTGCCGCGCCCATGTTGGAATTAGCTTGGACTCACGTATTTGTTGCTGCATCCTCTCAGAATGAAAGAACAGCTATATGTTTTTTTGAACAAGTCAGCAGGGAAGCTCCTTACCTGATTTTTTTTTCATTTTCATTAATAAAGGGTACAAAATTTACAGATATATACATGTTACAAGGGCTACTAGGACCAAAAGAAAAGCGAAATACATCTTAGACTCTCTCGCCACTGTTTCAAAAGATGGCCCCTGCTGGGCTTTGGCTTTGGTGCACACCAGTCCAAGCTCCTCTTTGAAATTGCTCTTCCAAACCAAGACGCACTAAATAAAGTAATAATTTCTAAAAGTTCTTACAAAAATCAAAGAGATTTTAAGTGTAAGGCTTTAGAGTGTAAGCCGGCACTAGTCTGTTCTACACATTGAATGAACCACACATTTTCATCAACTCACTTGCATTTTCAACTTCACCTCTTGTAAAAAAATTAACCCAGAGTTACGGATGACATTGACTCTACAAAGCTTATATAGTAGTCTAGTCCATGCTCAACGACTAACCAAAGGTGGAACTACCCCACAATCTCACATTATCGTACAAGTGAAAGTACTGTGGACCAAATCTAATCTCCACTAGGATGTCACACTAGAGGCCAGAACTTTGTTCCCTTATTAAAAAAATAACACTTTAAATTTGCATCTAAATTGCCCACTTATGCCGCTATTAAAAATAAACTAAAAATATCTTATAAAATGTAAATCTAAATCACCAACTTTTTCTATTACTCCCTCCATTCATAGTTATAAGACGTTTTAGCTTTTTTAGATACATGGATTTTGCTATGTACTTAGATATACTATATATCTAGATACATAGTTAAAACACTAGAAAAGTCAAAACATCTTATAATTTAGAGCAGATGGAGTAGCACATAAAAGTAATCTTTAACTGAGAATACATGTTATCTCATCATGCCAATCAAGTATCCATGCATGAACAATAAATATACTATTTTTAGTAATCATGAAAATTAATATTCCATTCATGATTCATATATCAATAAAACCCATGAAAATAATTTGTGCAGTTTGTAACTTTCAATAAATTTGTACATTTTGATTGAAACATTGTGATATACCTCTGCCCGGTTTGGATACCCCTCTAATTATAATAATCAGATTATATAATCAAATTTTGATCTAACACAAGATTGCTTATACAATGGATTATTATAACCAAAACTCTTGATTACCATAATCACATAATCCAAATGAGACTAGATTATAGGGAATTTTGGGTGCTGAAGTCCAACTTGCCCTCCAACTGATTGTCCAACTTGCCAAAGTATAAAAGGAAAAGATAGGAGTTTCTCACCTTAACCAAGTATAATCAATCACCATATAATCCATAGCCCAAACACTCCGATTATTATAATTCATATTCTTTAATATAATAATTGTATGCATAATCTAGATTATAATAATCTAGCTACAATCCAAACAGGGCCCTATATTAATAATATAATTGTATGTACTTTTTTTGAAAGAAAAATATACTACCGCAGTAACCTTAAGATTGTTGTGCAGTGGAGAAAGTCTAATTTCTTACTTGGCTAGACTACAGTGTTTGGCAAAGGTTCTAAACACGCCCGTATTGGCATTTGGCAAGCTTCTCCCTCGGGGGAGTCTACACGACGCCCTTTCACGGACGGCATCGTGTGACGCCGATTCCTTCAACTTTACGGAGTCGATGAAGTCACCGTAGTTTGTACCATTCTCAGATATTTCGTGGAAATATGACAGAATTGAATTAGGCAAATGACTTGCACCACACTGCATACACACTGACAAATAAATGCGTCCTGAGTCACACGTCTCTTGCAACCGATTGGAAACTTCTCTATCGACGGGTGGGATTATTGACCGCATGGAAGAATAACCATCGCATTTTTCTTTGATTCATATCCACGTAAAAAGGTCTGCAGATTGCTGAAATGTCAGATTATGCAACTGAGGGGAAAAAAATACTAAACCTGCAGAAAAAATAAACGTGATATGCAACCAGTCAAACACGTACTCTAAGCAAACAAAGGAGTCGTCGTCTCAGCCGAGGTTGCTATAAATTTGTAGTCATTTGGGACTACCTCCATTATCTCTGCATATACAAAAACACAAACAACAACTCATCTTAGTCGGGAAGCTTGAGGTATCAGCAAATGGCTGGAGGAGATGAGCTGAAGCTGCTGGGCTTTTGGGGGAGCCCGTTCGTTCTGCGAGCGAGGCTTGCGCTGAGCTTCAAGGGTCTGAGCTACGAGTACGTCGAGGAGGATCTCAAGAACAAGAGCGAGCTCCTTCTCCAGTCCAACCCGGTGCACAAGAAGGTTCCCGTGCTCATCCACAACGGCAAGCCCGTCTGCGAGACCCAGGTCATCGTGCAGTACCTCGACGAGGTTTATGGTGCCAACGGTCGTCCTTCTCTCCTCCCTGTTGACCCATACGACCGGGCCATGGCTCGTTTCTGGGCTGCTTACATTGATGACAAGGTACACTTCTATATAAATTTAAAATTAAAATCCCATGTTTCTTAGTTTCACTTGTGCGTTAGTTTTAGAGCATGAGAAAGCAACAAATTAAGTGAATAATGTGTAACATGTGCTAGTGCAGCTGTTGAGCTCGTTGATGATGATGAGCATGGGCAAGACAGAGGAGGAGAAGGCGGAGGGCAGAAAGCAATCGTCTGGCGCTGTGGAGACCCTCGAGGGGGCACTGAAGGAGTGCTCAAAGGGGAAACCTTTCTTCGGAGGTGACAGCGTCGGATACGTTGACGTTGTGCTTGGAGGCTTCGTCGCATGGGTGCGTATCATCGATCGCATGACTGGCTTGAAAATCTTCGATTCCAGCAAGACCCCGATCCTTGCGGCATGGCTGGAGCGTTTCGGCTCTCTCGACGCGGCCAAGGCGGTCATGCCGGACGTGCAGAGGCTGGTGGAGCTCAGCAAGATGAGGCAGGTCTAAACAGCACATGGCAACTGGTGTTTGCTGCGTACGATGCGGTTGTTGGTGCTAGAGACAAAAGCGAATTTTATTTTCAGATTTAGCCTCTTGCAGACAACCGACGATTCTTTATCTATGCATCACTCCCTGTTTGGATCCACCGGGTATATACTATGATGAAGCCAGGGAAGATAGCGTTTGTTCGAAAGACACTGTGGATGAGATTGTTACACCTCAGTTTCTAGAGACAGAATGATCTCGTCTGTTGTTTGGTTGAGAACGAACGAGATGGCTTCGTTTTTTTGTTTAGTTTTGGAACATTATATGGGAGATGAGCGCCTGGTATGTGGGTCCCACCCGTCAGCCTCTTTTTTCTTCTTTCTTCTTCCTCTACCTTCGTCCTTTCCTACGGACTCCAGCGTTCACAGCGAGGCGGTGATGGGGGCGGAGCTGGCCCTCGCCCACGCTGCGGCAGGGCCGGAGCTCCCCTGGGCACCCTCCCACATGGCGGCGGTCCGGAGCAAGCTCGCGCACTCACAGGGCCGGAGCTCGCCCATGCGCTCCCCCCACGCGGTGGTGGCACCAAAGCCCGCCCACTCGATTGAGCCCAGACCAAGCTGGCGACCACCTTCTCTCCTCTTCTCCCCCACTGGCGGTGGCGCCTCTTCTTTCATGCGAACACGCCTGTGTCCTAGGTGGGACGACCTCGCCCGCCGAAAAAAGACGGACTTGGTGGCCCTGGGTCTCAAGCGAATATTGGACATGGGATATCCCTGACTCCAAGTGTCTCTCTAAGCACCAACAGAAGAGGGTCTATTCAACCCTGCCCCTCGAAATCCTTGAAACTAAACTGTACCTAGGTGTTTACTGCATACAGTTTTTTTAGGGAAACAGGCGGGGTTGCCCCCTACTAGAATTTATTCAAAACAAAAGTTGAGAGTCTCAGATACAAAATTAAGAGAGAAAAAAGAAACAAAGAAAATTAAAACGATTACACAAAGGCCTCTTGCGATTAACTAGGTTAGGGACGATCCTTTTCTTTTGCATGAAGTATGACCCGAGCAAACTCCTCTCTGAAAATCTCTTTGCATCTCCAAAGAGACACCGATCTGTTCTTGAAGATGAAGTCATTGCGTAATGTCCAGATGGCCCATGCCATGCATGGAAATCAACACTTACATGAAGATAGGGACTGCTAGCTAATTATTGAAGCTTACCAGAATATCAAAAGGATCAATCAAGTTACCAACCTGCAGATGAAGAGTTGCGCAACAGCGAGCAGCAAAAGGGCAAGCCAGAAAGAGATGGAGGAGGCTTTTCTCAACTGCAAGATGGCAGAAGATACAATTATAGTCGTCCAGCATCATGTTTTTCCTTTTAACCAACTCCCTTTTGCTTAACCTATCTTTGAGTAGCAACTAGAAAAAAACCTTCCTCTTATTCTGACAAGCCGATTTCCAAAGCCAACTGAAGGCATGATGGACCTGTCTATGTCCAATGAGTTGCTTGTAGGTCTTTTTCGAGAGGAAAAAAATAGATGAGCCCCAAATATAGGCCCAAACATCTTGCTCTGGGGTATCTTGGAGACCACAAATTATGCAGCAAAAATCATGGAATTGTGCAAAAGCTTCAACAGATAGGGGCAGATGAAATAGAGTATGAAGTTGAGGGGTAAGCCTGGCACTTTGAACAGATATGTTTGGGTTCTTAACAAATGAAAAAAGCTCTGAAAAAGTCTTGCTTAAGATTCTGCCATGCCATAGATCATTCCAAAAGAAACAGGTACTTCCATTGTGCAGGTTGACAGAAGCAATACCCTTGAAGGACTGTAGCAATTTGAGAATGTCTCTCCACCAAAAGGAGCCTATTCGTGCTAGCAAAGGCAATCTGCCATTGGTGTATAGCTTTTCCCAAAGTAAATGCACCCAAGGTATGTTAAGCTTGCTGCAAAATTTATGAAGATGTTTAAGAAGTGAGCTATCATTCTGCACCTGAAGGTTAAGCACTCTAACCCGCCCTCCCCCCCTCTTCCTTGGGTAAACCAACCAAGTTCTAGGCTGTTTTGGAGGTTTCTTATTGTCGATGTCTGAATCATGCTAGAGGCAATGTTTCATGAACTTGTTGATCTGCTTGATAACAGTCTTGGGTAGCATGAAGGTGCACATTGTGAAAGTTGGCAATGCAGTGAAAACTGCATTAGTCAGCTCCAAATGACCAGCTTGGCAGCCTGGCTCACGAAGGTTGAAGTGCTCATCAATCGGCGCTCATAACGTGAGACTAGCAGCTAATAATCAGCAACACAAGGCTTGGTCAGACTCAGGGCCAACCCCAGATAGGTAAAAGGTAGATTTCCTTCTGAGCAACCAAAGGTGCTGGTTAGGAGGTGAAAGATAATTTCTCATTTGGTACACTGATGGAGATCATCATAGATTTAGCATAATTGACCTTCAAACCTGTAGACTCAGTAAAAGAATTTAGAAGGGCCTTGAGGAAGAAAAGCTGCCTTGCACATCCATGCATAAAAATAAGAGTATCATCGGCATACTCAAGAATTAGGAAGTCCTAAGTATGGTTTAAAGCTATCAGTAGGTGAGCAGGCCTTAATTCCTTGCATAATTAAGCAACGATTGCAAGAGATCGGTTGCCAGTACAAATAAAACATGTGACAAGGAATCTCCTTAAAGGGGTGACAAGGAATGTCCTTGCCAGACACCACATTTACAGTGAAAAAATGAGATGCCCGTGGGGCTAGTGCCTTGTGATGAGCGATTGACAACACGGTGTGCGTGTGACGTGTCTCTTGGCAGGCTGTGGTTGCAGGTGACAGGTGGAGACTAATCATGCGGCGATCTGTGAAGAACGGGGATAGGATGCCATGCTGATGAACCGCGGGGCGGTGAAGGGTGGTTCGACGCTCGCGTTCGAGGGACGGAGATTGTGCGGTGTACGTCTACTGTATCTGGCTACACGGCGGGAGGACGTCGGTGGATGGTTTCTTGGTTGAGCCACAAAACCAAGGACGTACCGGGACGCTCGTGCGGCGGGCGTGGCCGGAGATGGAAATTTCCGGCGATCGTGATATGATTTCGGATGGTCGTGCGGCGACATCGCGAGGATCACATCGCGGAGATGGAGGGATCACGAACATCGCGGAATTTGCCATGGAGGACGTGATTGATTGGATATGTTTATCATGTCATTACGTGTCGTTTACGTCGCGTAATGACAGTCTTGTAATTTAGGTGGGCCACCTTTTGGAGATATAAATATGTGGCACCTAGAGTTGAGAGGCGGCTGGGTTTTTGGGATTTTTGGTGCGAGTTACTGTTCACGGGAACAGTACCGTGCCTAGGGTTCCAGGGAACACACCTTCTCTCTCGATCTAGCCTAGGTCTTCAAGTCTAGAGAGAAGCCTAGGTCTTCAAGTCTAGAGAGAGATTTTTATTGATTTCTCCAATCAAGAGAGGGAGGACGATCGGGCGGAGGCTAGATGCATTTTTGTAGAACGATTACTGGAGTTAATCATTCATCTTGGTGAATTGTTCCTTTTTGTTTGCATCTACTTTTCCTGCCGTCCGCCGCCAGGGTAGTTGTGTTTGTTTTTGGTTCTGCGTTCTGCACTGTTCCACCTGGGGGTCTCAGTTCCGCCGTCGCCAGGGATCTCCCGCGTGCCGTCGCGGAGTCCAGTTTCTGCCGTCCGCTGGGTGTTGTTGTCGTTCCCTGCTGCTACTGGTCGAGCACGCCAGGACGGGAGTTCAGCACCTGCTATTTGCCGGCCACCAGCAAGCTGCTGTCAGGGTCAAGCCATTGGCAACAGCTTCTCCACTCTCAACATCTTGGCTTCCGGTTAAATCCATACGTTTGTCTATTAACCTGTTTAATCGTTCCTAAGATTATTACACCACTAGTTGGGGTCAGTAATCTTGACGATTGATTGAGAGGGGCGTTGGACATAGGCCGAGTTTCTTATTGAAGAAACTTTTATCGGCTCCCATTCACCCCCCCTCTGGTCGCCTGTTCTGGTCCTACAAAAAACTTATCAGGCTCCCCGTTGAGAAGTGCAGAGGAAGCACCAGAGTAAAAACTCAGGGCCTGTTTGTTTCCACGTATTTCCGCGTTAGCGTGGCGATTCAGCGAGATAAGCGGAATAAACCCACCGAACGCCCCGCGAGGGATGCGCGACTCGCAGTCGCCTACAGCGTGGAGTCCGACAAAATGAACCGGAGCCTGCTATTTTGACAACCATGAACATAATGTCAATGAAAGTTCAAGTGGGCGTTCAGCCACCTTCTGGAGACTTCCGTCCGATGCTGCGTCCGACAGTTTAGGCCAGCATGCAGGGCAGGCCCAAGCGCTCTACTCGTGAACACTCTAAAACTAGCATTTCCCTGAATGGCTGGGAACAAATTCAAAATACAGTAGGGCCTACTGCTTACACACTGTCAAGGAATACGTCGACGAAGATGTTTTAATGTCTCTTTGAAGTTGGAAATGGCAAATTACTCTGTCGTCAGTAGTGAACTCATCATCATCGCCACCTGACCAAAAATTAAAATTGATTGCCAGCATCGGATGTTGCTCACCATTTCTTGGATCCTACTCTAGTCCAAGTCGCAAGGGCCGGGCCTCTAACAATCAGTAAAATTAACGTGGGAGATGCTACAATTCAAGACAAACAAAAGAGTTGAGGATGCTGTGCGTTTGTATATATAGACTCCCCGGCTATTCCCTTCCCAATCACCAAGAATTAAGCCAACGAAGAAAAAAAAGCTACTCGTCGAACATTAGCCAGTGAGACCCTGAAGCACCAGCAATGGCCGGAGGAGACGACCTGAAGCTGCTCGGCTTGTGGTCGAGCCCGTTCGTGCTGCGGGTGCAACTCGCTCTCAGCCTCAAGGGCCTGAGCTACGAGCCTACGAGTACATCGAGGAGGAGGCTCTCACGAACAAGGGCGAGCTCCTCCTCAAGTACAACCCCGTCCACAAAAAGGTACCCGTGCTCATCCACAACGGGAAGCCCAT